GGTTAGGGCAGGGGAATTGCAAGTTCAAGCCCAGATTGCATAACCAAGCAGCTTAGTGTGACCCTGTCTCAAAATAAATCTTTAAAAAGCAAGGAGACTGGGCTAGGGATTTATCTCAGTGGTTCCACCGCCTGCCTCACAATCACAAGGTCCTGAGTTCAATCCATGGTACCAAAAAAAAAGCAAGGAGACTGATGATGTAGCTCACTGTGAAGGCCCTGGGTTCAATCTCTGATAACACACATGCACACACATTAATATTTAAAATATTTAAAATCCAGATTTATGACTTTGCTCAATGAATCACTACACCTGGCCAAGTAGAAGCCATTCACTACCCTGCTCAAAACACTCCAGGGGTTTCCCAGGCCCCTTAGGATAGATAAGCTCCCATCTCCCTAAGCCATGCTCAACTGCCTGCCTATTTTTCTCCCTTCCTCCCTCTCTAGCTCTGCTTCAGCCACTCTGGCCTTTTCATGGTTGGCTCAGGTGCTATCCTTGGAGAAGTCTTTCTTTACCGCATATCCAAACCAGCTGCCAACTCCTTTGTCTTCATAGCACCTAGTATTTGAAATTATATCAGTCATTTGCTCCCTGTTTTTGCACCGTCCAATACTTCTGCACATGGGCCATACAGTCCTTACTATTATATCCCCAACACCAAGAACAGTGCCTAGAATATTACATATACATCTGATAAATGTTGGGCGAATGGATGAATTCCTATCTGGCCATAATTGAAAGGAACTGTGTTACCCCTTTAGAAGGGATGAATCCTAGGCTGGGTGTGGTAGCGCACACCTATAATCCCAGTACTCGGGAGGCTGAGGCAGGAGGATTGTTGTGAGTTCGAGACCAGCCTGGGTTACATAGTGAGTTCCAGCTCAGTCTCAACTACATAGTGAGACCCTGTCTCAACCCCCGCAAAAGAAGGGATGAATCCTCTCCAGTTTGCCATAGTCCCCACCACTCCCTCTAGTCTCCCTCATTCTGAGGATGTCAAGAGTCTTTAATCGCCTCCCTTGCTCTATTGTTTTTCTTATGTCACTGTTATAACCAAAGACCACCTATACCACTCTAATCTGATGCCTTTCTCGCTCTGGAACACTGGTAACTTTCCAACACCTCCTTTTAACGCAATGAAAATCAGATCCAAAGAATTCCAGCCAAAATCTCTCTTGTGCTTTAGACCTGTCTCCCACCTGATTCCCACATAACCCCAATAAACCCCACAGACACCCCAGTTGAACTACACACATACACACACACAAAAAAAAAAAACTATTCTACTCATCCTCATCCTGTCTGGGCTCTTGTATCCCCATCTTTGTGATGATTCCCAACCCCCTGCCCAGGTTTCAACCTCAAACCCTGGGAAACCCAGTAGTAAACTGTATGAATGGAGCTCCCACTCAGGAACTTAAGGTCTAGTTGAGGAGGTATAAATGGGTCATGCAGAGTGATATGATTCTGATTAGGCAAAAAACAAGAGGCCATGGAACACAGGAAATTGGTAGGCAAAGAAGACTCACTAGAAAAGGAAGCATTTACTTGGAGACCTGGAGGTTTAAGAAGCAGTAGCCAGACAAAGAGGAGGGAAAGACTACCCCAGCAGATCCTGAGATGGCTGTCGAGTTAATGGACAAACCCAAAGAGGTGTCTCCATGGGGTGTGTGTGTGTGTGTGTGTGTGCGTGTGTGTGCGTGTGTGCACATGCTTTGAGGGTAGGAGTAGGTAGGTAATGAAAGATACATCCCAGCAGGCAAAAAGGTGGGTAGGGAGGGCTTTAGAAGTACATTCAGGAGATGGACTGAAGGTGATAGTTGTTAAAAAGTTTCTATTTTTTTGTTTTTTAAAAAAAAAGCACAGTTAAGTACCACATAACATTTTGGTCACTGATACATTGATATACACAGTGGTAATCCCATAAGAGTATAATGAAGCCTTTGTAATATCTTAGCACAACCCATTACATGCTTATAGTGACGCTTGTATAAATAAATGTACTCTGCTGCCAGTTGTATATCACATAGTTATGCACAGTACATAATTCTTGATTATGATATATTGTAACAATGTTACTAGCTTATGTATGTAGTATACTGTACTTTTTATTATTATTTTGAAGCATACTCCTACCTATTAACAAATAAAGTTAGGCGGGCATGGTGATACATGCTTGTGATCCTCACACTCTGGAAAGCTGGCACAGGAGGATTGCAAGTTCATGGTCAGCTTGGTCAACTTAGCAGCTTAGACCTTGTCTCAAAGTTATAAAAATTTAATTAAATCTAAAGAGGAATTGGGAAGCTGGAGTGTGGCTCAAGGCAGAGCATTTGCCTAGCAGGTGCAAGGTCATAGGTTTAATCCCCAGCACTAAAACCAAAAAACGGATGGGGCTGTAGCTCAGTACAGATGCCCAGGGCTCAATCCCAAGTAAATCTCAATCCCAGTAAATAATAAAAATAAAGTTTAGTACAAGACAGTATGCTGTGTTACTCCAGCAGCAGGCTCATCCATCTTTTGCTTAGCACATATCTTGATTGTATCAAATGGCTACACTGAGTATTGATCCAGACCATCCATGTGATTGTTGGTAAGTCCATTCTATGATGGTCTACAATGACAAAATTGCCAACAAGACATTCCTCAGAACATACCCCAGTTGTTAAGTAAGGCATGACTGTACTTTGTGCATGTGTAACCAACACTCAAACATCTCAAAGGGGCATACAAAGAAAAGTCTCTCCCACCCTCAGATCCCTTGTCTTACTTCCAAGACACAATCACCACTTAAAGTTTTGTGGGATTCCATCTGGAAATTTTCTCCTTATAAATACACCCAGACATATGTGTCTGATCTTCTCCTTGGCTACATGCACAGGACCCTAGAAGCTATGCTGAACCCTACATGTCCTTTTGTTGTTGTTGTTCAGTTTACCTTGAGCCTCTTCCCTTACCACTCCACATGTTGTAGCAGCTATCTGCTGTTCTGAGTGATTGTCCCATGTCACAGGCCCTGCTCCCTGGTTTTCTTCTCAGTACCAGCCATGCATTTGTGCCCCTGATGCACTACCACTGTATCTTCAGGGACCATCCGTAGAAGTAAGCTTGCTGGCTTAAATGCTATGTGCATTATAAATTTTGATAGAAAAATCATAGATGTCCTTCCAAAAAATTACAACCAACTTAATTTCCTAACATGACTGAGGAGAGCTTTGACCCAGAGAAGTGTGGTTGGACCTACATCTTAGAAAGATTATTCAGTCATTTGTGTAATGAGTATTTATTTGGAGCTTATTTACTGTGTCATTATTCTTGACGCTGGAGAACATATCAGTGAGCACAAGAATGTCTTCACCCTCCTAGAGCTGGCATTCTAATGAGAGAAACAAACCATAAATAATGAATATATATATATATAATGTATGTAATGTCAGATGGTGCCAGGTACTATAGAGAAAAACTCAGTGAGACAAGTGGACAAAGACTGCTACCTGTTTTATACAGGATAGGACAGGAAAGGACTCAGGGAATGGGCCAGTCAGATATCTGCAGTCCACACCTGCCACCCAGCACCCTCTCCCTGCATTCCTGCAAAGGAAACATCTATTGTAAAGACCCTGAGGCAGAGGGTATCCAAGATCAGTGTGGCAGCCACCACAAGGGGACTGAAGCAACATAATGGAAAAGAGAGTAGTAGAAAAAAAGGCCATAAGAGGCAATGGGGTCAGAAAATGCAGTGTCTTGTGAGTTCCTGGAAGTTTGCTTCTACTTTGTGTGAGAAAGGAAGACATTGTATGCTTCTGGGCAGGATATGATCTGTCTTGGGTGGCTGTTTAAGAATAACCTGGATGAGTGAAAGAAAAAAGCAAGGGCAACCCAGATAAGATACAGTGGGGGTTAGCCTGGGGCAGTGACCATAATCGAAGGTAGATCACCAACTATAGCCATTGGTTCTTCTTCATTTTCTCTGGATCTCTTGATTCTTCTCTTACACCTTTCATTGCTGTGCCATCCTCACCCAAGCACCCTCTCAGGGTGCTGCTCAGGACCTACTGCAGAAAGGGGGCTATTTGAATGAATGAGGAATTGCTTGAGTGAGTGAACTGTTGACCTGCCTCCCCATAGCTCTTGGCCAGCCCCTGTCCTCCTCATGCTCAGCCTCCACATCATCCTAGAGAATCTTTGAAAACACACACATCTGACTGTGTCCTTTTCTTGACTATAAACCATTCACAACTCTCCAGAGCCTACCCAGACATAAACTGGTGGCCTACAGACATGTTTTCTTTGGCCCACATAGTGTTTCAGGTTTTTTATTTAAATCTTGAATTAATTAGCATATTTTACATTAAAGTCTAGATTTCCCACTAGGTTTCATTTCTCCAGGACAGTATTTGGCTCACAGAGTCAAGGTCCCATTTAGACAAGGCATGCATACTGCAATTTGCTGTAGTCTACACAATTCCCCCTTTTTTATTGAATTTATTGGTACTTTTAAAATATGCACTACAGTTACATACACAATTCCCTCTTGCTTTACACTCAATCTGCATAAATGACCATTCTGGCCCCTGTGGCATCAGAGTTTGCAGAGTTGCCCTAGGGGCAATGCATAACTTCTGGGTAGCATATTGCATGGGGTAGGCTGGCAAGGGTGGAGAGACAGTAGGTTAATGTGAAAGGCTGTGGGCAAATTGTGCCGTGCTTTGAATGCCCCCCTATCCAGAGGGCTATGGAGTGCAATGAAGCAGGGGAGTGATGTGGTAGCATTCATGTTTTTAGACCAAGCTCTCTGGGCAGAAGGGGACAAGAGAGAGAGAGAGAGAGAGAGAGAGAGAGAGAGAGAGAGAGAGAGGGAGGGAGGGAGGGAGGGAGAGAGGGCTCAGTGAGGAAGCTAGGCTGTTAGGAAGAGGATGAGCTGGAAAAGGTGTGTATGGAGGCTGCTTCCCCACCAAATCTCCCCTAAGCCTGAGTCTATTCTCCTTGTGTTTCAGAACCAGATAGCAGCCTTAGACTCAAGTATGGCCGTGAGGGCAAATGAACAGTGTTGAAGACCCAGCCTGCCTGCAGCTGCTTCAGAAGGAATCCAGCCCCTCAGAGTCCTTCTGCAGCCCACAGGATGGGAGCCTGGGTGCTGGGGGCCTGGCCATGAGGGACTACTTCCCCTCCCAACAAAAGGCCAGCCCTGCACCCCTCAAGCACACCCCTGACCAAAGCCCAAGCATGGACTCTAGACACAGCAATCCCAGTGGGGCTGGGGAAGGGACCTCCTGCTCTGAGGGGCCTTCTGGGAGCTCAGCCTACCCTTCTTCCATTTGTATCCCTCCTCAGGAGGCAACTACCAAGGAGACACTAGGGACACATGGAGCTTCAACCTCAGGGATACCAGAAACCACCTTCACTGGGAAGCCTGACGCTGTGTCCTCAGTGAAAACTCATCCCACGTCCTTAGAGGGGAGAAATCCTATGCTATTGGAGAAGATGGATTCCAAGTCCTCAAAGCAAGCCAATCCCACTTCCATAGGCAAGGAAGATGCTGGGTCCTCAATGGAAGCAGATCCCATGTTGACGAGAAAGACAGAGACTGTGATCTCTGGAAAAGGGGATGTTGTGACTCCTGGAAAGATAGATACCATGAGTTCAAGGAAGGGAGATCCTGGATCCTTAGGAAAAGTAGATCTGATGTGCTCCAGCAAGGTGGACACAGTGTCACCAACAAAGGAGGATGCTGGGTCTCTGAGAAAGGTAGACCCTGTATCTTCAGGCAACATGGATTTTGCATCCCCAGGGAAGGAGCACCCTGTGTCCTCAGAAAAGGTGGGCACTATATCCCCTGGAAAGGTAGATATTTTGTTCTTGGAAAAGAGACATTCTGGGCCTTCAGGCAAAGTGAATCCTACTTCCTTGGAGAGCATAGATTCTGTGTCCACAGAAAAGATAGATCCTGCCCTCTTGGGAAAGCTGACTCCAGGGTCATCAGGCAAGACAGAGCCTATGTCCTCTGCAACAGTGGCTTCTGGGTCCTTGGGCAAGGTGGATTCTACACACTTGGAGACCATGGATCCTGCATGTATGGGCAATGCAAAAACTGTGTCTTCTGTAAAAGAGGATCCTCAGTTCCTGGGAAAGATGGACCCTGCCTCCTCAGGAGAGGGAGGTCCCATGGCTATGGGAATGATAAAAACAGTGTCTGCTGGACAGGTAGGTCCTGTGTTTTCAGAAAAGATGGGTCCCACATCTGTGAAAAATGTAGATCCTGTGTCTTCAAGCAAGATGGATCCAGTCTCCTTGGGAAAGGCAGATCCCACGTCCTCAGGAAAGCCAGAGCCCTTGTCTCCTGGGCAGGCACAACATGTGTCCATGGGGAAGACAGAAACTGTATGCTCAGGAAAAGAGGACCCAGTGTCCTCCAAAAAGGTGGATCCCCTAGTCATAGAAAACATAAAAACATCACCTTCTGGAAAAGTGAACCCTGAGTCTTCAGTAAAGACTGACCCTGTGTCCTCAGGTCCAGGGGCTCTCACATCCCTGGGCTCCAGGGGTCCCCCATCTGCAGTAAAAGCTGAGGCAGTGACTGACAGGAAAGGAGATCCACAGTCCTTGGAGAAGGCCAGTCCCACAGCCTCGGGGAAAGTAGATCCCTCGAGCAGGGGAAAAGTAGAAACTGTCCCCTCTGGAGATATGGACTCTGTGTCTTTAGGAAAGACAGCCCCAGGGAAAATAGCGCTGGAGAAAATGGATCCCATGGGCCCAGTGGGAAAGGTAGAAGCTGCCCCACGGGGAAAGGTAGATCCCCTCTTTCTAGAGGAGAATCCTGTGAACTCCACAAAAGTGGAAACCAGGGCCTTGGGGAGAGTAGAGCAGAAGGCTGGGGGCAAAACAGAAACAAAGCCCTCTGGGCATGAGGGTGCCTCGGCTTCAGGAAAAGCAGAGGCCTTGTCTCTGCCGAAGGAGCAGCCACGGGCCTCTAAGAAGATGGATCCCGTGCCCTCATCTTCAGAGAAAGTAGAGCTCCTTGGGGCTGAGAAGGTGGAGACGGCGTTCCAGGGGAAGGCTGACTCTGCATCTCCGAGAAAAGCAGAGTCTCCGTGCTCGGGAAAGATGGTCCTTTTGTCCCCGGAAAAGGCAAAGCCCTCCTCTTCCAGGCAATCAGACGGCAAACCCTGCAGCACGGCCCCCTTTCTCTGGGCTGGCGGGAGCAGCCGTGTGGAGCCCCAGTCGGTCCCCAGCACTGAGGCCTGCCAGAAAGACCTGGCGGCTGCTGGGGCCCAGAGAAGCCCTCGAGCGGAGGCCACTGCACCCCCGCAGAGGCCACGGACTCGTGACAACTTCACCAAGGCGCCATCCTGGGACG